AAAAACCTCGATTTGCACAGCTCCACTTAGCGGCCCGCGCGGCCGAATTGAACATTAACATTTATTGTTTAGGAGGTGGGAGAGTGTTGCGGTTTGCTTAAATTGATGTAACTTGGTATGTACGCATAATTTCGCGCCAACCCAGGTATCAATCTTTAGTTGAAGACCCAGAGAGCACGTTTTAAACGTGGATTCGATATAACATCATGTCAGGTTAAAACGCGGGTAGAGGTCAAAAGTGACAACTTCTTGAGTCGAGCTTTGCGGGCAGATTCGATTTAATGATGGTCGAACTGTTTCTGTGCTCACTATTACTTTTTGTCACGGGATATTTCAAAGCCCTAATAGAAAGTAGACGTGTCATAGATGGCGAAAGACGTCTAAGGATAGATGCCCTAGACGTCTAATGACCATTTACCATAGACATCTAAAAGATGTCGAATTTGGCCGCGAAAATGAGATCTTTTAGACAGCTAAGTGAAAACATCGAATAGAAGTAGTAGGAGGGCTTGCTACACCCAAATACTCTGGAAACTGTACACAGGCTAAGGTATCAAAACTGTTCGGATAAAACTGTCAAAAAGCCACATTGATTCAAGGCTAACGATTGTTAAGTGTGGAAGGTGTGAGGTGACGTGCTTTTCTATGTGATCAAAATGGTTTGCGCGCTCAGTTTAGGCTAGGGGTCCGCGACCGAGCACCCAGAAGACCGTTTAGTTCAGAGACCCAAATTCAAAACCGTACAAATTTTAGCTCTGGGGACCAAAAGTTATCCGTGACGGCGAAGGCAGCGGCACCACACAATATAATCTGAGGTCCACAATGAGGGCCCTGAGCATGCCCCCCACATTTTCATTTGTGTCACAGGCTGAATGTATTTATATGTTTTAGTACAAACGTTCACACTAAGTTAAACCTACGTTTCGTTTCGCACAAATTTGTGTACGAAGCTGCATGATTTCCTACAAATTAATGGACAAAAGTGTTCAAATCAATGCAGAAATGCGTGCACGAGAATTGATTGCTTAAATCCGTACAAATTCAAGATACAATTCTAGTTAGTGTGCGGAATAGCAGCGGAAACGGAACTGCCGAGCGGCTGCTGGATTCGTCTCAGCCCGCGAACTGCACATGCGCAGTAGACTCTCTGTCACTCCCACCTCAAACTTCATTGACCCTGCTACTTTCCGACTTTTAGTTTCCGTTCA